GATATTGATATTTTCATTTTTGAAACCAGAAGAGTACCAATAACACACACCGCACAGACGGACAGACATGGCTTAATCAACTCAGGATTTCCCGCTGATCAACAATATATATACCCTATAGGGTTTCTAAAGTTTCCTCCTGGTGGTGCCATAATATATATAGGCAAAAAAACAATATGAGTATACCCCCATCTTACAGTGGTGGGAATAAAAATAGGCTTTTGGAAAATTTATTGTTAGCAAACTGTCTTTCTCTCTCTTTATAGAAAATAAAAAATATTATTAAATAGAAAACTAAAAAAATTGTAGTTGGCCTTGGCCCATCATTAACTAGCTCACACTCCCTTTCAATTATTTATTTAAGGAATTTTCAAAATAAGATATTATAAGAGATGTGATCGAAATAGTAAATCGATTCAACCGATTTCAATGGCCCCTTGCCGAATATAAAAGTATCCTATGTCGTCGTCTCGCTTAATGATAATATACCAAAAATTATACATTATTTTTATGTAAATGCATCATTTTCGTCAAAGCCCCCAAATTGCAGAATACTCAACCGGCAACGTGGTCTAAATTGCACAGATCTAGTTTACTTGTCCAAGATTTTATTATTTTCCAGGTAATCTCGTCATAACAAATCACAAATTAGATTATGTCGCTGCAAAAGAATTTGCTTTCGCGAGAGTCCCTATACATTTTGCAGTCTACTTAATAGATCTATGTTGGATTTACTAACGACAAATTTTCATCATAAAATTTTAAAAATTACATCTTTTTGGCGTGTATAGCCTTATTTTTCATTAGAAATCTTATGAGGGGGGGTTTGGGATTTAAAGAATAGACCTACCCTGATTCAAATCCGATAACGTTAATAGTTAAGTCAAATTACTATTATAAACGAATTATTATCGAGATGCACTGAAAATTAGTCCTAGATTCAGTTTCCGTAGGACCCAGTTATAAGTGTGATCTTCATTATGTTTGCGTAAATTCGACTTTGATTCAATTCGATATTGCGGCCGTCTATTTGAATATTAGGTACAGTCTGTCGTCGTTTTAA